TCCACTTTCTAGTCCATTGTGCAGTATCTGGGGTCCTTCAAGCTCACAAGCAGCCATCCAAGGCTGGTCTCTATTCACCTGGAGCAACAGAGAAAGGAGAGTCAGGAACAGGAGGAGGACATGGAATGAGGGGCTAACGCCTCCACGAACAACTGCCTCCTTTGCCATGAGACCAGAAGAAATGGATGGTGCCCAGCATTTTGATCAAAGATTCCATAAAAAACCACAACTGCTCCTGATCCAAGGCATCTAGTGACAGGAGAAGCTGGGAGGTCCTGGAGAAAGGAGGGCACTGTCTGTACCAACCCTAGGCCTTGTAGTGCTGCCAAGGAGGAACAGATGCAAGGTCAACACCCACCTGACAGCACAGCTGTGTGAGTGTCCTGCGGCTGATGTAACAAACTCCCACAAACACGGTGGCTTAAAACCAGGGCTTCCAACTGGTTCCTTCCAGTTTGACTCCGCACTGAGAATTTGCATTTCCACCCCAAAAAGACTGAGTCAGAATCTATGATTTTAACAATAGGAGTCACCCGAGGTGACTCCTATGGATACACTTGGTGATCTTGTTTACAAACCTAGGTTCTGATTGTCTATCTGAGGTGGCAATGCAAATACTCAGCAGGGAGTTGACCCAGAATGAACCAGTTCAAAGCCCTGCTTAAAACAACAGAAAATTGATTCTCGCGGTTCCAGAGGCCTGAACTCTGAAACCCAGGTCTCAGCTGGGCCACCCTCCCTCCTCCAGCTGGGCCCCTCTCCCTCCTTCTCAGCTGGGCCCCTCTCCCTCCTTCTCAGCTGGGCCCCTCTCCCTCCTTCAGGGAGGATCCTTCTCTGCCTCCTCCGGCTTTTGACGGCTGCCAGCACTCCTTGGCTTGCAGCCATGTCACTCCAGTCTCCGCCTCCATTTCCAGAACCTCCTCCTCTGCCTCTTATCAGGACACTTGTGTTTGGACTTAGCATCCCAACCAGATCATGCTGGCTGTCTCATCTCAAAATCCTCACTTTGACCACATCTGCAAAGACCTTTTTCCAAATAAGGTCATATTCACAGGTTGCAGGGATAAGGCTGTGGAGGCCCTCATTCAACCCACTGTAACACATAAGATGGGGAAATGATGAGAGAAAAAGATGTAGAAGAGAAGACAGACCCAGCTTCTGTGGTCATCAAGGCACATGAGGGTGAAACTGGGTGAACAGAGATTCCAGATGGCACCCGTGTGGCCGTCGGCTTCCAGCTACGTGATGACAAAACACTTCCTTTCTGACAGCAGATTAAGGGGAGGGAGAGGGGGAAGAGGAAGACCGTTCTCTCTTGGTCTAGTGCCTAAGGAATCATGTCTCTGCCTTAGGGCCATTCTCCAGTCTTGTTCAAGGATACAATGATTTATTGATGGCATGATTAAAAGGCAATGTCAAAAATGTCGAGTCAGTATTTTCCATTGGTATTCATTCACCATGAGCAAGAGTGGGTGAGTAACGGGGGCCTTAGGGTTTTATTTTCTCCATCCAGAAAAGGGGTGCCATAATGGAGTGCTAGTGGTCTTAGGATATGCCTCTTTTCTGCAGCAGGAGTGAACAAAAGTTTAAGGAGACCTGGTGATGCAATGGTTAAGTGCTTGGCTGCTAACCAAAAGGTTGGCAGTTCAAACCCACCCAGTGGCCCCAAGGGAGAAGGCCTGGCCATCCTTCATAAAGATTTCATCCTAGAAAACCCTATGGAACTTTTTCTCCAAACCAGCCAACCAATCCTCTTCAAGCAATGCAACACTCCAGCCTTAAGCAGACAAACTCCTTCAGGACGATAGCCGAGATACTGATGGGAAAACATTTGACCTCTGAGGTCAAATCCGTTCACTCAGAATCTACACCCCAAAGTCTCACCCAGGATGCATGGGACCTGTCACAAAACAGAAGCTTGAAACGAGACTGAGCCACTCAGAGCACCAATCCAAACCCAAATTTTCACTGCTGTTGTCAGGTGCCATTCGGCCAATCCTGACTCATGGCGATTACATGTGACAGAATGTAACTGCCCATAGGGTTTCCCAGGTGGTGGTCTTTACTGGAGCACGTCACCGGGTCTTTCTCTCACAGAGTCACTAGATGGGCTGGAACTACCAACCTTCCAGTTAGCAGCCGAGCGCTCCACCATTGCACCACCAGAGCTCCTTATCTAAAAATGAGCAGCTAGGAACTGAGCAAATGTATGGGAATGATTGCCAAAAGCATTCTGACGGAGTTAATAGCATCATTTATTTGAATCCCACTAAAGATTGTTTTTTTTTTTTCCAAAAACTGGGTTTGCTGTGTTTCAAGTCCTAAATCAAGTCGTACTTCCTGCTTGCTCTGGTCGTACCTGGTCATCTGCAAACACAGGTAGGGGTAGGGGACCAGTTCAATTAAAATCAACTCTCCTTGGTGGGACAGCTGCTACATACAGCCCCAGGGCTGCTACACCAAAGTATGACACACTGAGGGTTTAGAAAACAACAGAAATTCATCCTCTCAAAGTTATGGAGGCCAGATGTTCACATTCTGGGCGTATGCAGGGCCGTGCTCTCAAAGTTAGGGAGGCCAGATGTTTACATTCCGGGCGTATGCTGGGCCATGCTCTCGGCCATGACTCCAGGGTAGACGCTCCCTCGTCTCCTCCAGCCTCTAGTGGCCCCAGAGTCTTGTGGCAGCATCACTCCAACCTCTGCCTCCAGCGTCACACGACCATCTTCTCCCTGTGTCTCTTCTTTTTTTATAAGGAGCCCTGTCACATTCAATGAAGGCCCACCCTAACGGCCGCATCGTAACTAATTACATGTTCAAAAGACCCTAGTTCCAAATAAGGTCTGGGGACTGGAACTTCAACAAAGGTTCTATGAGGACATAGTTCAACCCGAAATGTCGGCCTACTACCAGGAGAAGGGACCTATGTGTGTGGCAGGCACCCTCACACATTCTCCGTGGTGAACTCTCTCCCCTGGCCCCGAGATGGTATTACGCTGGGGTCATCTAGAATAGTACCTGGCCCATAAGACTGAAGAAAGGAAGGGAAAAAGGATGGGGTTAGGTCAAACCCCAGCCTTCATTGCTTCTAAATTCCTTCTGCAAGTATGAGGAAATGAAGAGATGGTGGTCCCTGAGGGTCAAAAGAAAGCAGTTTAGCCAGCAAGCTTTGTTCCCTGATCTCAAACGTGCTGTGAGGGGTACGGTGGGGTCCACATCGTACCCTGAGAAGCAGGTTAGCAAGCAGGAGGGCTGCATTCACCGGGAGGGCTCATTTGACTTCCTGTATAATCTGCATCATTGCATAGGTCACCAGGTAGTGAACTGACATAGATGACCTCTCCTGAAGAGGTAAGAGTCAGAAGGGCCCTTGGGAATCATTAACGCCTCTCAGTTTACAGAGGGGGAAACTGAGGCCTGGAAAGAGAGTGAGGGCTTACAAGAGCCCAGACCCACCCCAGGCATCGCAATTCTGAGGCCACAATGTTTTCAAAATGCACAACAATGCTTCTTTCAAGTCTCCCTTCTCCCATCTCTCTCTCGGTCTCCCACCTGCACAGACGCTGCGTTGTCTCCTGTCCCCTGGCCTGCACAGCCCCGTGTTTGTGGTGTTGTTCAAAGCTGTGAGTTGATTTCAACTCGTAGCAACCCCGTGACAGAGCAGAACTGCCCCACCATGTTTCCTAGGCTGCAGTCCTACGGGAGCAGGTCACCAGGGCTCTCTCCCATGGAGCCACTGGGTGGGTTCAAGCCGCAGACCTTTTGGTTGATGGCTGAGTGCTTAAGCATGGCACCACTGAGGTTCCCTGCACAGCCCGAGGCTTTCCCCGCATCCAGACCAAGACAGCCTGGGCTGTTTCTCCCTGGCCCCGCTACTGCAGTATAATAATAAAGACCCAGGAGTGAAATGGTTGCTGACCTCACGGTACCTGACTCTGATGTAGTTGGTTTACAAGCAGACTTGGGCACTGGCATTTAAAAAAATCTCTCCCAGATGCAGTCAGAGTGAACCTTATGACCAAATGAGGAATAACTGCTCATTTTTAAGGTATGTTAACAGTACCAAGCTTATGTTTAAAAGAGAGAGAGAGAGAGAGAGAGCCCTTACCTAAGGCATACACATTGAAATATTTATGAAGTGATATGAACTTTGATATATATACATACATTTATATATATACATACACACACACACATACACACACACACGTATGTCACCTTGTATGTCATCTGTCATCTTGTCATAGCGACCGCTCCTTGGGTTTCTGAGGCAGTATCACTACGGAAGTAGATTGCCCCATCTTCCTTCCGAGGAGTGGCTGGTGGGTTTGAACCACCAGCCTTCTGGTTTAGCAGTCAAGTGCCTTAGGCACTATGCTACCAGAGCTCCTTCATCTTGTATAGCACGTATCATATTATACACCATCTTTCAAATCATCTGATGTATCATATGCCATCATATATATCATCTTAAGGATCCCTGGTAGCACAGTGGTTAAATGCTCAGCTGCTATCTGAAAGGTCAATGGTTTGAATCCACATGTGACTCCACAGGCAAAAGATGTGGCTGCCTGCTTCCACAAAGATTTACAGTCTTGGAAACCCTATGGGACAGTTCAACCATATAGGGTCGCTGTGAGCGGGAATCGCCGGGACAGTAGTGGGTTTGGTTTCCTGGTATACGTCTTCTTAACCTCTTTCGACTCCTCGGTTCTCGCCGGACTGTGCTCACCACCTGGACCCAGCAACAAGAAGGAAAGGGCAGAGGCTAACCTGCCAGGTGAGCTTCTACCCCCCTCACCATGCTGAGCGGTCCTGCGGTGCATCCTGCACGACGCTGACAGTTTAACATCTTCTCTTCCAGCCCTTTTGGTCCCACGTGCAATGAGAAAAGACACTGGACTCTGTGGTGTCAGGCAGCCTGTTCCCACAGAGCACATGGGCACCGGATGACGCTCCTTCGGAGAACTCATCAATACCTCCCCCCCTTTACCCGCCAGGTCGCTGGATCGAGGACCACGGCGTCATTCACAACATGATGTTTAACACAGAGACACAGTGGAAATACTCCTACAAGACCACACAGAACAAGACGGAGTGGTGGGACAACGGAGCACTGCCCCTCTGGATCACAGCCCAGAGGCAGGTACTGCCGGAGACCCTGGGTTTGTGCCCCCTGGGGAGAGCTGCATAGAGGACTGTGGGGTGCTAAGGGCCACAGAGGGGCTTGGGAAGAACCTCCGGGCTGATGAGGGTCTGTGACAGGACCATGTTGGCCATGACCAGGAAGGGATTTGGAGAGAGGCCAGGGAGGGCAGCTGCGGTTCTCCACATAAACCAAATATCCTGGCAAATGGATTCCAAACTTGGGAGAGCTGTGGGCATGATGGTGCCAACCACTTGTGCTGAACCCATTGCCGTGGAGACAATTCCAACCCGTGTCAGCCTCATGTGAGTTAGAGGAGAACTGTGCTCCACAGGTTTCGGGGGGTTTTCATTGTGATTCGGACGAAAGTTTACAGGCAAATTCATTTTCCACACAGCAGTTGCTACACACTTTATCTCATGACATTAACTGCAATTCCCCACAACGTAACTGCTCTCTTCCCACTTCCTGCCCACAGTTACCTCTTCCCTGAGTCCTTCCCTCCAGTGCACTTCTGCCCAGCCCCCCCCCCAAGCTATGTCCCTGTGCACACACTGCCCTTCTGTTCTTTCAAGGAGTGTATCTACCTGATGTAAACGCTCACCCGTACACCTGTCTGTTGTTTGGCTAGAAGCCACAGCAGTGAGCTGAGTTCCACACTGCTCCGCCAGGTTCTCAATGGCTGGTTTTTCAGAAGGAGATCACCAGGCCTTTCTTCCAAGGCACCTCTTGCTGGACCTCACCTGCCAACCTTTCAATTAGCAGCTGAGTATTAACTGCCACACCCCCCAGGGACTCCCAGGACATTAGCACCGAGATAATGCATCCAACGCAGGACATAAGAATGTCTTTGTTATCCAGATAAAAGCTCTGGGAAAAACAAACACACAATCTTCGCTCCCTTCTCTTCCCTGGCTCCGCTGGCACACAGACACGCAAAGAGCCCAAACCAGCCTCGGCTTCTGAATGTCCGATCTCAGAGTCTATCTCTTTGCGCTCAGTCATTCCTAGGCTGGCTCACTAACTCCTTAGCCTGCAATGCATGTCCTCCCCACCACAGCAGATCAGCAACGGACTGTCCCGGGGCCTCCCAAAACATCTACGCCTGGCACATGGTCTCCGAGCCAATGCAGGCCCAACAGGAAACTTCTCTGATTCCTGGTTCTCAAGAGTTGGGTGGACTCAGCACACAACCCAAGCGTCAGGATTTGCCTGTAGAGCCCTAAGCCTTGTTGTAAGGAAGTGACTTAAGAGTAATAGCCACGGTGATGCAAGACTACACTAAGGGAGAATAATGAACCCAATAAAGCCAGTGATTTTCCAATTGCTGTCGGGGCTAAAAACACTGATTCTGCTAATTAAAGGGTGGAACCGTAAATATCTCCTCCTTTGCATCCAATTAAGTGCTCGGGTTATTTCTCAGAAGTATTTGTAGAAAACAGCACTTTTGATTACTGTGGGTCCCAAATAAACAGAGGTAAGGGTGTACGAACGTATGTGTGTGTGTGTGTGTGTACATGCACATAGCTTCTAAAATTCCCATGAGACAAAGTGAGAGAAACCATAGCTTCCTAAGACTACAGCTTAGGATAGCTTTAAACAAGTCTGTGTGTTCAGAACACAGCATTAAATAATAATAACAATTTCAGGTTGGCAACATCTAATGTGGAATGTACAGCATCAGGAGCGCCAGTGAACACTCGGGCACACCTGTTGTTGTTGTTGTTGTTGTTGTTTGCCGTCGAGTCGGCCCCGACTCATAGCGACCCCTCCTTGGGTTTCCGAGGCAGTATCACTACGGAAGTGGGATTGCCCAACCTTCCCCTAACCCCTCGAAATCTCATCGTCAGCTTATTCTGCATACGATAACAGTCAATCAAACTAGGCTCTGCCAGATGCTGGAGGTTCACCCTTCAAATCCTTTCCATAGTGGCTAAAAACAACAACCGGGGATTACCTTTCATGCCAGTCAGGAAGGCAATAAACAAATATTAGAGAATTCGCCAGTGAAATAACCACAGAAACTTCATTATCAGAAAGAAGAATGTGCTACCTGGAGGAGAGTACAAATGAGATGTTGGGCCCAAAGATGAGAGAGTCTGCAATTATTCCCCCTGAGCCAATCAGAAGTGAAGGAGCTCTGGGAGCGTAGTGCCTACGGCATTTGACTGCTAGCCAGAAGGCTGGCGGTTCAAACTCACTAGCCACTCCTCAGAAGGAAGATTGGGCAATCTACTTCCATAGTGATCCTGCCTCGAAAACCCAAGGAGGGGTCGTTATTAGTCAGGTCTGACTCGACAGCACAGAACGACAACAAAACAAAACAAATCTGAAGTGAGAGGAGGATTCATTTTTCACTCACAAATGGAAATGGAGTCACGCATCTGTGCCCATGCACTGGGCCACCAGTGAGGGCCTGCTCATGCCAGACTTGTTTGTTCCAGGTTAATGTTTTGGCATCTTACAGGTAGGGTAACTGAGGCAATGAGAGATTAAAAGAGCTCCCTCACCATCACCAATTTAGAAAGTGCCATTTTCCCTCCATTGTAAACCAAAAACCAAACCAAACTCACTGCCATCAAGTCAGATCCGACTCATAGCGACCCCTCCTTGGGTTTCCAAGCTGCTATTTCTACGGAAGTAGATTGCCCAGTTTTCCTTCCGAGGAGTGGCCAGTGTGTTTAAACCACCAGCCTTCTGGTTAGCTGTCAAACGCCTTAGGCACCATGCTACCAGAGCTCCACTCTAAGGCACCTTTTTTTTTTTTTCTTGTTGCCATCTCTGAAATTAAAATGTATTGACAATCAATCTTTCAACCTGAAGTCTTCAACCAGAAACATCCCCTGGATTCTTAAGACCAAACACTAGTTTAGCCTAATTGGCAAAGATCGTCAGCCTTGGGCACTCTGCTCTTTTGGAGAAATACCTATCTGTGTGGGATTAAATGGACAGCAGCAACTCGAAAGGTTAGATAGGAGGCCTGGGGGCAGTGAGTGTGTCGATGGGGAGCAACAACTTGGAAAAGGAGGGTGAGGATGACTGTACGACTCAAAGAATGGAATCAGTGTCACTAAATCGTCGTGTTGAATTGTCTATGCTCTGCTGTGTATATCTCAACAACAAGAAGAAATTATTTTAAATCTGCATCTGGCAGTCACTGGAGTGTCACAGTTCAACTGACAGTACTGTTCTTCTGCTGTTGCTGCTGTTGTTGTTGTAGCTAGTCAGCCGCAACCCACGGCAACCGAGGCCCTGGGTAAGCAAACGAAGCCTTGCCGGGTCCTGTGCCATCATGACGGTTGGCAGCCTGAGTCCATGCTTGCAGCCGCCGTGTGATGCCTTGCAGCCTACAGGGCTCATCTAGCACGAGACAGGGTGTGATCCATAGGGTTTTTATTGGCTGTTTTCCAGAAGCTTAAAGCATTTGGCTTCTAATGAAAAAGGAGGGTGGATGGAACCCACCAGCTGCTCCACAGGAGAAAGATGAGGCAGTCTGCTTCCATAAAGATTTACAGCCTGGGAAACCCTATGGGGCAGTTCTACTCTGTGCTGTAGGACTGCTGTGAGCTGGAATCAATGTGATACCAGTGGGTTTGGTTTTTTGTTTTCCAGAAGTAGATCCTAGTCTGAAAGCTCCAGTAAAACCTGTCCACCAGAGGGTGACCCTGCTGGTGTGTGCAATACCGGTGGGACGGTTTCTAGCATCACAGCAACACCCAAGCCCCCACAGTACAACAAACTGACAAGTGGTGGGTGGTTCCTCTGAGTAACAATGAACTAAAGGCAGGACTTACAAGTATCAGTGTTTTAGATTTGATGAGATCCTGGGAAGCCAGGGGTCAAATCCCATTCTGACTCTAAACGCTGTGTGTTCTCTCTTCCTCTGGATGCTTCACTCATGGGGAAATGACATGAAATATGGGCTGACAGAATTTTCTGCTTCACTTGCAGGGGAGAAAAACAGCATCCTTCCACTATCCCGGTGGAGGGGCAAAGTACAATGGTGAACCCGTCCAGAGATCCCTTGTGGAGTCTTACACCCATCCAGACAGCAATGAGACAGAGTGGAGGGAGAACATTGACATCGTCATGAACTGGTTCACCAAAGAAGACTTTGACTTTGTGACCCTCTACTACGGAGAGCCAGATAGCGTGGGCCACCGAGTCGGGCCTGAGACAAATGACAGGAGGGTGATAATTCAGCAAATCGACAGAACCATTGGGTACCTGGTGGAAGCCATTGAGAGGCATGGCTTGACAGAGCACCTCAATGTCATCATCACATCAGACCACGGCATGACCACGGTGAAGAAGCAACCCAATGTCACTGAGATCCTCCTGACAAACTACATCAAGTTCAAGGATTTGGTCAAGTTTGATATTGTGGACTACGGTGGCTTTGGGATGCTCCTCCCCAAACCAGGACAAGAAGAAGCTGTGTACCAAGCACTAAAGGACGCACATCCTCACCTCAAAGTCTACAAGAAGGAGGATTTTCCAGAACGCTTTCATTTTGCTAAACATGAGCGAGTCCTGCCAATTGTGATGTATGCCGACTCTGGATACAACATTAATGGGGTAAGTTGATGCTAAAATGACACAAAGTCACCCTGGATCTGGGAGATGGCAGCTAATGGGGAATGGTTCTGAAAAAAAAATTATGGCAAAAGTGCATACATTAAGAGCTGAGCTGTAACCCACCATTTCATAAGGTTCCCTAAACCCACTCTCCACTCCACCCAACCAACCTGCCTATGTTACCATCAGACAGTAGCAACAGCAAGCATCATTTGCTCTGTGGTCAGCCCTGCACTAAAAATGTGACAGGAGTTATTTCATTTTGGTCTTCCCTAGCACTCTCCAAGATTTTAAGTAAATAAATAAATGCCGTGAAGTCGACCCCAAGTCACGGAGACCTATGTATCAAAATAGAAATGTGCTCCATCAGGTTTTCAGTGGCTGATTTTTCAGAAAAAAAAGATGTCCAGGCCTTTCTTCTGGGGTGCTTCTGTGTAGACTCCAACCTCCAACCTTTTGGTTAGAACCCAAATGGTCAATCGTTGGCAGCACCCAGATACTCCCTCTCTGAATCCAGTCCCCCTCCCCATTTTAATGATGATGAAACCAGACTTAGAGAGAAGTAACAGGGTGAGGAGTGAAAAGCTGAGGTCTGGTCATGGTGCACAGATCAAAACCCAATGTATTATTCCACAGTAGATTCACCAGCAAACCACCTGATAGTTCCCATCTGCCCACACTGAAGAGTAAACCTGTCCACACAACACATGCATGAATTCCCACAGCAGCATTACCCACAATAGTCAAAAAGTGGAAACAACCCAGATATCATCTGTGTTACACAGATGGGAATGATTGCCCAAGTATCCTTTGATTGAGCTAACAAAGTTTTCTTACCTCCATTCAGGTACACGAAGTCAAAAGAGATGTGCATATTATTGAAGTAAACTGTTTTTTCAAGGATGCCAAAATTCCAAATACATTCAGTTAATTAAAAACATAGGCACTTTAGTTTACTAAATGTAAAATGGGCATTTAAGTGCACTTTGGTTGTCAGTGATGGGAAAGTTCCTAGTATTTTCTACCAGGAAAGAATAGTAGGAACTTGCTTCAATTCAATCTCATGAAATCCAAAACTACACTAAATTACACATGGAGTGTTTGTCTTACACCGATGGGAAAGCCCAACCTGTACTCTTTGAGTTAACAAAGTGTAGCTAAACCCAATCAGGGAGTTGAAATCAAAAGATTTTGCATGTTATTGTAGTGATCTTAGTACTCAAGGATGCCAAAGTTTGAACTACATTTGGTTGATTAGAAAACAATGTGCACTTCACTGAATATAAAATGTTAATTTATGTAAACTTTAGTTGTCTTTGATGGGAAAGTTCATATTCTTACATCAGTAGGTAATAGTGCAGACTTTGTTCACTACCATTCTTCATTTCCAACCTGTTGGAATCCAAAGAGTACACTACGTTAAGCAAGTACTCTTTGTTTTACACAGGTGGGAAAGGCACACATGTATTCTCTGGCTGAGTTAACACAGTGTAGTTTCTCTCGGTAAGGTACATGCTTACAGACCTACACTTTGTTTTACACACATGGGAGAGATCCACATGGATTCATGGACTGAGTTAGCAAACTGGGGGTACTCTCAGTAAGGTACATGTTTATGCAACTACACTGTTTTACACAGATGGGAAAGTTCCACATGTATCCTTGGATTAACAATGTTTTCTTACTCCCACCCAAGTACATGGATTCAAAAGAGATTTACACTTCATAGACATAAATCATGTTTTCCAAGGACTCCAAAAGTCCAAATACATTCAGTTTATTAGAAAACAATGTGCACCTCAGTTCACTTAATATAAAATGTGCCTTTAGGTACACTTTGTTTGTCAGTGATGGGAAAGTTCCTAATATCTTCTGTCAGTAAAGAATAGTGTGGACTTGCTTCAATTCAACCTGATGAAATCTAAAAACTACTCTAAGTGATCCCAGTACCCTTTGTTTTACACAGATGGAAAGGATCACCATGCGTTCTTTGATTGAGTTAATAAAGAGTGATTATTCTCATTCAGGTACATGTTTATGCAACTAGTTTGTTTCAAACAGATGGGAAAGATCCACAGGCATTCTTTGACTGAGTAACAAAGTACAGTTACTGCCAATCAGTTATATGAAGTCAACCAATATTTGGAAGAGAAATTTGCACATTATTGAAGTAAACTTTGTTTTTCAAGGATGCCAAAAGTCCAATTACATTTTGTTTATTAGAAAACAATGTGCACCTCAGTTCACTAAATATACAATGTGCATATCAGGTATACAAGGATGGTTCAACATTAGAAAAAACAATCAATGTCATTCATCACATAAGCAAAATAAAGAAAAAGAACCACATGATCATACGAATCGATGCAGAAAAGGCATTTGATAAAATCCAACACCCATTCTTGATCAAAACTCTCAGTAAAATAGGAATAGAAGGGACATTCCTCAACATAATAAAGGGCGTCTGTGCAAAACCAACAGCCAACATTATTCTCAATGGAGAGAGACTGAAACCATTCCCCTTGCAAACAGGAACCAGACAGGGATGCTTTCTATCACCACATCTATTCAACATTGTATTGGAAGTCCTAGCCAGGGCAATAAGTCAAGAAAGGGAAATCAAATGCATCCAAATTGGTAAGGAAGAAATAAAACTATTCCTATTTGCTGATGATATGATCCCATAAATAGAAAACCCAAGAGACTCAGCAAAAAATCTACTGGAACTAATTGAGAGATTTAGCATCGTGGCAGGATATAAGATCAACATCCAAAAATCAGTTGGATTCCTCTACACCAGCAAAGAGATTGCTGAAAAAGAAATAAGGAAATCAATACCATTCTCAATAGCTACAAAAAAAAAAAAAAAAAAAAAAAACTTGGGAATAAATCTTACCAGGGACACAAAAGACCTGTACAAAGAAAACTACAAAACACTACTTCAAAAAAAACCCTAAGAGATTTACATAAATGGAAGAATATACCATGCTCATGGATAGGAAGATTGAACATTGTGAGAATGTCAATACTACCTGTTGTATAGTTGGAGTTGTGTGTCAACTTGGCAGGACCACAATTCTGAGTGGTTTAAGTAGTTTGATGTGGATTATTCCCATGATGAGATCAGATGTATATGTTTTGAGCAGCCAAACCATTGAAAAGAAGTTTCCCTAGGGGTGTGGCCTGCTTCCAATGTATTGATGGACATCCTGGGAAAATGAGACACTCTTCGTGGATCTGGATCCTATCGTAATGCCTATAGCTTTCCATGAGCGAATAATCCACCATTCGGCCTGGTGACCTTGGAGTCATTATTCGTCAGAGTCAACAGCTGGTACACTGCCTGCCAGCCTTGAGCTCATCAGCCCCTGCAGCTGCATGAGTCAGGAAAAGCCTCCAGCTTCACATTTGATGCAAGAACTTGGGATTTGCCCACTTCTATACGTGTGTGAGCCATTTTCCTAAGAGACATTTCTTACACACACACACACACACACACACACCCCTATATATTTATAAAGCTTTACTGGTTTCTGCTTCTCTAGAGAACCCAGCCTAACACACTACCCAAATCATCTATACAGTCAATGCAATCCCAATACAAATCCCATTCAAGAATATGGAAAAAGCAATCATTGATTTTATATGGAAAGGAAAGAGATCTCAGATAAGCAAAGCACTATTGAAGAACAAAGTAGGAGGTCTCACGCGCTTGGATCTCAAAACCTACTATACAGCCACAGTGGTCAAAACAGCCTGGTATTGGTACAACGACAGACACATAGACCAGTGGAATGGAGTTAAGAACCCAGAAATAGATCCATCGACCTATGGTCAACTGATTTTTGACAAAGTGCTGAAATTCATTACATGGCGAAGAGATGATCTCTAACAAATGGTGCTGGCAAAACTGGATATCCATTTGCAAAAAAATGAAACAAGATCCATACCTCACACTAACCCCAGATGGATCAAAGACTTAATTAAATGTGAAACCTGGAACTATAAAGTTCCTCAAGGAAAAAATAAGGGAAAATTTAGGGGCCCTAATTTATGGCATAAATAGACGGTCAAGCATAACCCAGAATGCACAAACAGCAGAAGATAAAGTAGATGAATGAGACCTTCTAAAAATTAAATTTTTATGTGCCTCAGAAGATTTCTCCAAAAGAGTCAAAAGAGAACCTACAGATTGGGGAAAAAAAAACTTGGCAATGACGTATCTGACAAGGGACTTATCCCTAAAATTTATAGAAAACACCAACACCTCAATAACAAAAAGATTAACAATCCAATTAAAAAATGGGCAGAAGACATGAATAGACACTTCATCAAAGAGAATATTCAGGTGGCCAACAAACATATGAAGAAATGCTCACGATCATTAGCCATTAGAGAGATGCAAATCAAAACAACAATGAGATACCATTTTGCCACAGCACTAATAGCAAAGTTCAACAAGATGGAAAATAACAAATGCTGGTGAGAATATGGAGAGATCAGGACTCTCATACGCTGCTGGTGGGACTGTAATATGGTACAATCACTGTGGAAAGCAGTAAGGTGATTCCTTAAAAATTTGTAATTAGAAATACCATTTGATCCAGCAATCCCATTACTAGGTATATATCCTAAAGAAGTGAGAGCCATGACAAAAACAGACATGTGCATACCCATGTTCATCACAGCACTATTTATAATAGCCAAAAGATGGAAACAACCTACATGCCCATCAACAGAAGAATGGATAACCAAATGTGGTACGTACACACAATGGAATACTATGCAACCCTAAAGAATAACATAGAATCTACAAAACACCACATAATGTGGATGAATTTGGAGGACATTATGCTGAGTGAAGTAGGTCAATCACATAAGGACAAATATTGTATTAGTCTGTTATTGTAAAAAGTCAAGGAAAGGTTTATATGTGGAAGGAAAATTTCTTTGTTGATCGATCACCAAGGGTAGGAGGGGAGTGGAGGGAACACAGATAGGTAGAAACAAGTATTGATTTGGATGAAGAGAAGGGCAATGTACCAAATGTAAGTGATCAACATGGTGGCACTGAGGAAGAGGAAGGCATAGAGAGGTACATGGGAGGTACAGACAACAAAGATGAACCCTTTTGCATGTATAGTACTTCATTGTCAGTGATAGCAAGCATTGATCTATGGGTGGATAGATGGGTGCACAGGCTGAACGATCAGGTATGTCTATGCAGGGGGGAGTGTGCCCATGACCATGTATCAGGTTGGCAAACAATGTTTCTACAAGCATATATGTATGTGCTGTAAGAATGTCCAGGTGTACAGTAGAGCTGACAAGAGACAAGGTTGTGGTGACTTCTTGGCCACAGCCAGCTACCTGGAGGGAGTGAGTAGTTGGACCTGTGGCCTGGGGACCATGGTTGCAGGGGACATCAAGCTCAATTGGCATAAAATATTGCACAGAAACATCATTCTACATCCCACTTTGGTGAGTAGCAACTAGGGTTCTTAAAAGCTTGCAAGTGGCCATCTAGATGCAACAATGGATATCTCCTTGTAGAGAAAAGAAGAAGAAAACCAAAGATGCGTGGAAACAATTAGTCCAAGGGACTGGTACATTATGCAATCCTCAGCCTATATGACCATGAGACCAGAAGAAGTGGATGGTGTCCTGCTACCACTGTCAACCACTCACAGGGGGATCAGTGCAGGAGATCCTGGATAGAGTAGAACAATGTGGAATAAAACTCAAAATCATTAAAAAAAAGAGAGAGAGAGAGACCAGGTTTGCTGGTGTGATACAGCCTGGTGAGACCCCTGAGACTCTGGCCCCTAGCTATCGTTCAGGTCTGGAATTGAACTCACTCCTGTGGCTTCCAGCCAAATAACAGTCAGGTAGATACACTACTTGGAGCGATCAGTGTTTGTACACAGGGAGACAGCTTGGGGGTGGGGTGCATGGGAGGGAGGGACACAGGGAGGCAGTAACTACAGGGAGTAAGTGGGAAGAGAGGTGTTCCATTGTGGGGAATTGCAGTCACTGTCGTGAGACAAAATGTGTATGAATTGCTGTATGGAAAATGAATTTGCTTTGTAAACCTTCACCCAGATCATAGTGAAAATTTTAAATAAAATTAAATAAAACTGGCTTTTTATTACTATTATTCTTTTTCAGCAACTTATAATATATTTCAACAAAGGGGACCATGGCTTTGATAATGCCCTCATGGACATGAAAACCATCTTCAGAGCTTTTGGGCCCGATTTCAAGAAGAATTACTTGGCTGAGTCTTTTGACAGCATCCATATCTACCCCCTGATGTGCAGGCTCCTGGGAGTCACCCCTGAACCTCACAATGGCTCTCTGGCCGTCACCCAGGACATGCTCCTGGACCGTCATGACCAGCAGTCAGGTGAGTCACAAAAGGGACCGCGCCAGAAAATTGTCAGCATGGGTTATTCTTTCCTGGGACAGAAAAGATTCAAAAAGCAACCTCCAGAGTGGGTCGAAGTGCACAGAGTGTGCTCTGTTCCGCCAGCTTAGAGCCCACAGAGCCAGGTAACAACACTCTGAACAGAGGGCGGCAGGCGTGCGGGTTTGTCATCACCCTGGTCTAAAACCAATCTGGGCAAAAGGAAGGGCTACATGGAAGATCCCTCTATCCTTCAGAACCCTGCAGTGGAGCCGGCCCCCCAGGGTCCCTTCTAGATACAGTTATGCTTCCTTTGGAGACGGTGCTTACTGCTACCTCACTAAGAGCCCCTCATAGGTGGCAAGCAAAGTCTGACCATCAATTCCACTTGCTGATAAAAGAAATGAAACAGGGAGGAGGGTCTATAAAGGAAGCTAATTCTCAAGATTCCCAAAAACCCTACACCTGGGCAGATGTCCATGAAACATGTCCAGGAAGAATGGCCTTCTCTCCAGGAATTCAGGGTCAACCTTCTTTAGTGGGTTATGTGTTTGTGGCATGTGTGCTGTGGTGTGGGAGGCTCTCCCACTGGTTCTTCAAACCCCACCAGGGTCCCCCACGGTGGAGAGGTTTCAGTGGAGCTTCCAGACTAAGACAGACTAGGAAGAAAGGCCTGGAGACCTGCTTCCCAAAGTTAGCCAATAAAAGCCCTACGGATCCCAGCAGAACACTGTGCAATGTGCTTGCTTTGGAAACATCAGGAGGGACCGATCACTGGTGGAGGGCCTCAGGTTTGGTGAAGGAGAGGACCAGCAAGGATGAGGGACACCCTTGGTGACATGGATGAGCACAGCAGCCACAACAGTGGGTTTGAAGATGCTGATGACCATGAGGCTATCTTAGGACTGGGTGACATCCTGCTCTCATGTACATAAGGTCACCATGAGTTAGAGTCAACTAGCTGTGTGTCTGTCTATGTAGCATTACCATCTATCATTTATCTGTCATCTACCTAACATCTATGTATTTGTCTGTCTACCTGCCTACCTACCTAGTATCATCTATCATCTATCATCACCTATCATTTATCACCTATCCATCCATCCGTCCATCCATCCATCCATCCATCTACCTACCTACCTTACAAACACAGGTCACCTTTTTTTCCTGCCAGGAGAGACAATATAAAGATACTGCCCAATGCCTGATGGAGTTCTTAAAGCAGTTACACTCAACAAGGAGTAGAAAAGACAGTTTCATGCATCCTTTTCCTTCTTCTAAGTCAGTGCTGGCTCACTGGCAGAATTCCTGCCTGCCGTGCAAGAGACTTGGGTTCAATTCCCAGCCAACGCACCTCAGGCACAACCAGCACTAGGCCGGCCATGGAGGCCTGCATGTTGCTAGGATGCTGAACAGGTTTCAGCAGAGCATCCAGACGAAGATGGACTTCCCAAAAGCAACTGATGAAAACCCTATGGAGCCCAACAGTCCAATCCCGTAGGGCACAGGGCCACCTCGATGGCAGATGACAAGCCTGTGCCCACAGTCTTGGGAACTTACAGGAAGCAGATCTTTCTGCAGAGAAGTAATGAACTGCATGGCCAATTCACCAAACTCCTGAGGGTTGGTTTTTTTGAGTTTTTGGTTTTTTATTTTTTTGTAAGTTTCAGAGTTTTGCTACAACTCTTCTGCCCTGCCTCCACTCCCTGTTGGCGTCTGGCTGCCAGTTAACTGAGAAGCAGAACATTCCGTGAGTGGATTTCCAGTGAACTGGCTTTCTGCAAATGGGTCATTTGGCAAATTAGCCATTAGGCAAATGGGTCATTTGGCGAATAGGTCATTTAGTAAATCGGCTTTCAAAGACTTGCCCTACAAGATTTTTCTACAGCGAGCACTTCCTTGGGTTAAATGTACATTTCATTTCCGTAATTAACATTCACTGGCACCAGGATAGGGAACTTTCCAGGGACCCGCAAGCTGCCAGGACAGCCTCTTAATAATCTGGCAGTTAAAACCCTTTTGGTTTTTTATTCTTTTTAACAGGACAGGAGACACAGAGGGCATCCACGCTCCGAAACATAGGGATCGGTCTTGGAACTGTCACTGGCGTTACCGTGGTTCTGTTTGTCTCTAGTGTGACACGCACTGCTATCCGTCGGAAAAAGAAGTGAGTGGTCTCTGGGTTTCCTGTGGTTGATCAAAGGTCGCTGGGTGGTGCCAACGGTTTGTACTCAACTATTCATTTAAAGATTGGCAGCTGGAATGAACTCAGCAGCTCTGCGGAAGAAAGGCCTGGAGCCCTGCTTCCGTAAAGATCACAGCTGGGAATACCCTATGGAGCAGTGCCACTCTGTGGCACGCGGGGTCGCCACAAGCTGGAACCAACTTGACGGCAATAGGTTTGGTGTGGGTGGTTGATCAGCAGTGTGTAACGATCTCTTCCAACCGCTTCCTGTTCTATGGCATCCAAGCCTTGGAGAACCCAACAGCCAGAGCTGGCCTAGCCAGTCGCACCGGGTCCCACACTCAGATACCCCACACACGCTGGCCTTAATAATCTGTCACTGTCTCAACATTCTTACTCATTCTTGAACAAGGGGCCTGACATTTGCATTTTGCACTGGGCCCTGCAAATTACACAACGGGTCCTACCCCCACCCAGAGCCCCGTCTGCCACTGGGCGCTGCTGTCTGTGTCTCTCCAGTTACAACATTAAGCTAAGCCCCATGCCCCTCATTACGCCCAAGCCTGGCCATTCTTCTACGTGAACGGAGGTGCTGTCACAATCGGACGGGGGCCTCTTGAACACTAACAACGGCCTAAAGAAACGTGCAACTTTACTTAACCTTAAACTCCACTGTAAGATCCACGCTTAACGTAATTTATATTTGAACTCTAAGATTTTTCTGTAAGTTGAAACATGACCTATAATGTTCTCCACACCCTGAAGCAACATTTCAGAAAGCAATCAATTGGTCCTTTTGCACAGAAGCCATTAGCCATAGGAGAGATAAAGGAACAATTCCCATCTACGGATCCAACTGCCATGCCGACAGCATAATTCCTAAAAGGTGACCATTCCGTTCGGCTCAAATGTAGGAGGTTTTTGTTATTATTATGAAAAGAAAGCCTCAAATACAGAAGTCTTTAATATAGCACACATATACACACATATCCCTCTGGCCCTGCAGGCCCACTCACACACACACACACACACACACACACACATCCCTCTGGTCCTGCAGGACCACTCACACACACAAGCACATATCCACACAGACACACACACACACACACACATCACTCTGGCCCTGCAGGCCCACTCACACACACACACACACACACACACACCCCTCTGGTCCTGCGGGGCCACTCACACACGCACACACACACACACATCACTCTGGCCTGCAGAACTAGTCACATATCCACAAATACACACATACATATTCCTCTGGCCCTGCAGACCCACTCACACACACACACACACACACACCCCTCTGGCCTGCAGGCCCACTCAAATACTGTCCTCATGCTGCCTTCTCTCATCAGTGCTACCTTGAATCGTGACTTTCTGTCATAAGCAGTGGATGCAATTTTCATTTCTGCCTGAACACATCACATCTGTCGGGTCCATGGGCCATTAAAATCCCTTCAGTGACTTGATCCTTCCCAGATCCAGGTCTGAGACGTCTATCACTTTGCCCTCTCAATCCCCGAGAACCCACACACCATGACCAAGGTGCTCTTCTCTCTGTGAGGGACAGTTCTGGAAGTTGGTCAGGATTTGTCCTCAATCCAGGCCCCATCTCTGGCCAAACCAAAGCCACCACCACTGAGTCAATTTCATGTCACAGTGACACTGTAGGACAGAGTAGAACTGCCCCATGGGGTTGCCAAGGCTGTAACTCCTTATGGAAGCAGACTGCACCTTTCTTCCATGGAG